ATATTGCTAAATTCCAATATGTATATGTACACCTAAAATATTGAAGATATGTTTCTATTATAATGTAGAACTAACGGCGGTGTAATATTAATAAGAGTATAAATATCTAGTAGTACCTTTTTAGTCTGTAGTTTTTTCAATTTTGAAAAATAACAACAGCTGCAATTTGTTATAACAATTTATGAGAAATACGAAGTATAAATTCTAAAGTTGAATTAATAATGACATACATTTTAGAGGTTATTGAATTTGTTTAGCATCATTCAAGTACACGGGCTATCAAAACAATTCCACGTGCCTCTAGTAACTTAATTACATGAAAATAAATTAGATAACAATAATTTTATGAACAAGGCATGATTTACATATCACTAGAATAATTGTTACTGTTTCAAATTGTATTAAGAATTATATAACAAGCTGGTAAGTATTTGTTTTTGAATTCTTTAATAATTTATCATTATTTTTTTTTTTTTTTTTTTTAATTATCGTAAATATTGAAGAGATACTTTAATTTAAAGTTTAAAATTAAACCTTAACTGTGTATAATATTTATTATTTTATACAGTTAATAATTCCATGCGTTCGATGCAGCTACACGTACACTATAAATTACATAATATTCCTGGCACAGTAAAACCTTTCGTGTACTCCTGGATTCCAACGATTTATCAAAAGACGGTTTCTCATTGTCAGACACCCCTCGAAAAAATGTTCGTAAGAAAAAACTGGTCATGGCCCCTCTCGAAAATCAAGGTCGAATTCCAATTTCTCTACTCCGCCGTAGACACAGATAATCAAACACGAAACACACATATTTTATACCTACAGTATTTTAGAAACACGAAAACACGACCTGACGTATTTACAGTGCAACTAGTCGGTATAATAATATGGTTTTATCCTTAATAAGACGGCATTGGAGGTGAATGCAATAACTCGAAATTCTTTACTTTCTTTCTATCGGAAAAAAATTAGAATATTCATTATTCATTATCATAGTTAATATGATGTAATATAATGGTAATAAACTATATTGACATTGAACATAAAAAAATAGGTATACCTATAGGTGTATTCTAACTTCTAGTCATATTATAGGTACCAATATTAACAATTCCTAGACTCGCGTTCATCATGGTGGTGTGACAATAATCCCGTAGATACAATTTAAGAATGTTGTTTATAAATATAGTACTTTTTGTGAATTATCGGCGTAATTATCTTAAAAAAAGTAATGATAGTATTAAAAAATAAAATGCAGAATTTTTCTATACAGCAGGTACCTAGTTAAAAGATGAATGGAGTGGGCATAGTGTTTGACATTTATTATAAATAGATAGTGTAATATTTGTAATAAATTATCACTTTTATTATTTAAATTATTATCAATTAATTTACAACATGCATATCTATCATTATTCCAACGATTTAAGAATAACGTGTTATAGCATAGTAGTAATGCAAATAAAAATAAATAATAAGAATACAAAATTAAAAAGCATTAAAGATCGTTAACTATGAAAATGCGGCCATTGACCATAAGGATTTTTTACTTCTTATTATTTTCAATGAACACATATTTGTCGACAACAACAGTGAGGAAGTTTGGTTTTTCAGGATAATGACGAAATTCACTATAAAAAAACTCAATGATTACCTATGAATTATTGAAATGTATTTATTTAAATAAAATACTTGATTCAGGTCTCTGGCATTCTCATGTTTGAAATTTAGATTAAAGGACACACCACTAATTTATTGTTAAACAATTTATAGGAATTTGTCACCACAATTTTAAAATTTGTATTTCCCTCCATCACTTATTAAATGAATGGTATTTTAGTCTATTACTGTTGGTATACGGTGTGTAATAATTGTGTCCCCGCAGTAATAGATCTATATCAAACGGGGGAATGTGAGAAGATTTGGATGTTCGACAAGACTGCAGTTAGTCCCACTGAGTACAGTTTAAGGTGTATTTAAAATAAAATAAATGTAATATTAATTATTCTTCTTTACCGATGACTTGGTAGCAACAATACATGGAGAAAGTGATCAAACGAGACTAGTTCGGCAGACTTATGTCTAGCAGGCCAAACGATTATTGTAATAGATTTTGTTTACTCGTCAAAATTGAAAATAGTTATGTCTATATATTGTGAGACTCCGTGATATTACAGAACTAATGAAAGATGACAGGCGCGTCTGTGATTTATGTATAGTATATAATACCATACGTAATATTATAATTACATAAATATGAAAACTGTAATGCGTTGTGTCACGCCATTATACAATACTCCCCTTTTATTTTAATTCAATATATTTAAGTGTTGTATATATTTTTTGTTACGAAGTACAAGTTAGTTCTAAACGCTTGTCAAAAACATTCATAATCATAATGCTTATATGATTTAATTTTTATACATACAATGGTACATTTTATGTTTGAGATTTCTGGTTCTCGGTTTAGAGTAAAATTTTGTTTCGACGACTAGATAGGTATCTCTTGTTTACCAACTCCTTTTTGTAAAACTCTACCCCTTGTAAATTGGTATTTTTGTTGAATATTTTACAAAATGTTTGTATTGCGGTACCCATGCTGTTGATTAACATTATATTAATACATTCTAAAAGTGTAATACCTATATAATTTTTTTTTTTATATTTAGCTGATCATCGGTTTTATTAATTTAAATGAGTAATGGTAAGGTAGATTCAATTTTAAATTTAGATACATAAGAGAAGTAAATATTTTGCGGTGTTGACATAATATTTTATTTGAAAAAATATCATATTTTTAAAAACTCAATGTTTACATTCATCATACATTTTTACATTCACACATTAATACATTTGAGTTATGGTTTATATAATATTATGCTTGTACTTTAAAATAACTTTTACAATATACATGTTATTGGACAACAGCAGGTCATATAGTTTAAAATTAGTAAAAATTGAAAATTAAATACATGCATTATATAATTCTGTATTGACATTTTTTTTTTTAAGAAAAGTGCCATTATAATGTTTACATTTATATCTTACATTTTACACGTTTGTACATTAATACATTTGAATTATGGCGTACAGTAATAAATTACTTTGCAGTGCAAACAAAAAATGATACTTCTTAATAAATATATCTAGATATTATTATCGAGTATTGCTGGTAATGGTGAATAAATATTAGTTTTGTAGATACTATTATGAAAATAACTGTATTTACATTAATTCTTTTTTATTCTGGCTTTATTCTGGCCTCCAGCGTGTTGCATATTGTCATTATTATTTTAAAATCTAATTCAATTATTTTATCCATGTCTAACAGATCATTCTCCTTTTTCAATTTTATTATTTTTTGTAAAATTATTTAATTTAGATATTTTAAATGTACTACTTATTAGGTAAAATAAATAATGATCAATATTATTACTGATATTTTTCAACATGCGAATTTTTTAATTTTTGGTTGGTATATTTTACGTCGCGATCTCAGCGGTTGGTTTTTTGGCTTTAACACCTTATTATGTGACTATATTTGTCCCGTAAATATAATGGTATCATAATTAGTTTCTTATCTTGGCCTCATTTGTTTACTTTTGCAATGAGTTCAAATGTACCAAAATATTGAACTACGTCCTCAGTAATTTTCCTTTAATATGTTTGGATTTTTGTAACAGTTGAACTACAGTCAATTTTATGATTCAAGGTAATATTTATAATTTTTTGTAAGTAAGTATTAAATAAATTATGAATTTTATTATAGTATATCTCATATAGGTACTATTTTAATATTGTAATATTATATTGGTGATTGTAATGATTATTTTAGTATTTCAAGTATTTTAAATGTAATAATAATTGTAATATTTTAATAATGCAGTGATTATTGTAATATTGTAGTTATTGTAACATTGAATTTGAATTGATATATATTTATGGATTATTTACGAGTAATTAACTACCTAAAAATTTCTTTTAATTATTTATAGATATTTTTGTAAATTATCTGAGATATATAATATATTATATATATATATTTATATATATACTATAAAAAATGTAGGTTAATCAATACAAATAAAAAATACCAGTATGACTATTTATATTTACTCACAACAAAATTTGTTTATTTCAAATTACGTTTTCTAAAATAAATTTAGAAGTCCAGGCTCCTCCACTGTAAATATTACGTGGTAACAATTAAATTGTTGTCTATCACTGCTGGTATACGGTGTGTAATTGCAGTGTATCCACTGTGATAGATCTATACCAAACGGAAGAATGTGAGAGGATTTGAATGTTTGACAAGACAGTTAGTCATACCGAGTACAGTTTAAGTTTAACGTATATTTAAAATAAAATAAATGTAATATAAATAATTTTACTTCGCCGATGACCTGGTAGCAATAATACACGGAACAAGTTATCAAACGAGACTAGTTCGGCTGACGTACGTCCAGCAGGCCGAACAATAATTATAATAGATTTTGTTTACTGATCAAAAATGAAAATAGTTATATCTATGTATGGTGAGACTGCGTGATATTACAGAACGAATGAAAGATGACAGGTGAGTCTGTGATTTATATACTTACTAGTGTATAATACTATACGTAATATTATAATTATATGAAACTAAGAAAACTGTACTGGTGTTCCATGCCAAGTATAATGCTCCAATAAAATGTATCACTAAGACCAGCATCATCAAATGATAGAACGCGGAAGAATGCAAAAGAAAATCCAATCGGTAAAAAAGGAAAAAAAACAAAAATAATCATTGACTAATATATTTATAATAAATAAATGAGAATTAAAAGAAAAATATGAACGGTCATTCATTTGTATGTTTGTTTGTTTGAACGGTTGGGGGGTGGGTAGTAGGAGTAACGGATGGTTGGGTGAGAGTGAGTGAAGCTCCACCAATAAGATAGTCGTTCGTCCGACACCGAAGTCTACCGATGCCCGTAGTTCCACGGGACACTGCTACTACCGCAGGAAAATCAGATAGACTTACTACGACACGACGCATAAAGAAGTACACAGAGGACGGCCCTCCATCATGCTATAATATTGCGTCGACTAACGTGACAGGTTAAATTAACTCAAGCATTCTAAAAGGGATTTCAGTGCACAACAACACAATCAATACAACTTCAATCGCATGATATGTGACAAAAGGATAAGGAACTGATTAGCATTCAAAACAAGTTATCAGTGAGTAAGTACCAATAGTTTATTTACAAACAAAAAAAATTAAATAAGTATAGTTTCCTACAAAAGTCATAACGTCACTTATCACCCGTCGAGTTAAAAAAAACTGTACACATAGGATATAGGAAACATTGAACTGCTTCAATTTATTACTTTTCCGTTATAAGTTATTAAAAAAAATGTTCATTTTGTAATGGTTGATAAATTATAAAAAAACGGAATAAAAATGCACGTGTCCGCACGTGCATGCTTAATTTTAAACAAATTATACGAGCTAATATTTTGGTGATTAATTTACGAGAAGTTATCATGAAAATGTATTTTTAATTTTAACGCAATCAATATTACATTTCTAATCATAGTTAAATAAATACAGCTACCGTTATATATAGTTTATAATATTTATAGATTTTTTAATATGATTACAGTTTATAAAAATTATCAGAATGAGTACTACGGTTATGAAAGTACGGTTGTTGATTTGTTCGGTGATATTCGTACTACCATATTGCACAGGATTTAAAGATGAACATATTATTGATTTGTATGAACAAGGTATGACATAATAAATAAAACATACCTAATAGCTTAATATTTTGTATTGATATTTTTAAAACAAATCGATAACAACGAATAAATGATGTGTAAATTGCATAGGTTTGGCAATAAACTCAACTAATTGGTACCTAAAACTCAATACTTCCGATATAAACGAAGAAATTCAAAAAGCTACCGAAATAATTGAAAACAGATATCGTTTGGAAGATACAATATTATCAAATATTAGTCAAATAACAATTGGAAGCCCTGTTCATGGACAGCTAATTGATTCTATGCCTTCCAAAGGCGGAAATTCAGCATCTCGATTTGCTGAAATTATAATTGAAGCTACACGCAGCCTGAAGAATACATATTGTCTAAAGTATGTACGCATAAATTAAATATCTCAATAAAAAAAAAAATATAGATTTTGCATGGTAATAATACGCATAAATTAATCTATAATTTCAGGCACGGGTTAAGTGATATACAGTGTGCCAAAGATTTAACGAAGGTGAATCTGACTGGGACAACTTTGGGTGAGATGTGTATGTCCGAGTATTACGATAAAATTCCGTGCGAAGTACCTCACTATCGTAATAATGACGGATCTTGTAGCAATTCGAAACATAAAAATTGGGGAAAGGCAAACACGCCTTATAAACGTTTGCTGTTTCCAGTCTACAAGGATGGTAATATTTCTTAATTTTGCATGATGCAAATCGCGCATAATTTATATGAATTAAAAACTTAAAGACTTATCATAGCACTTTTTCAGCTAGTACGTAACTTCTACTAAATACAAATTACGTATTATAATATTTACGTTCATGTTTATCTAATGCTATTATTTCATTAATTAATGACACAGGTATTTACGAAATGCCAAGCGAAGAAAAACTGCCCAACCCTAGATCACTGAGCTTAAATCTTGTAAAAGACGAAATTTCGATAGATCAAGGAAAAACGATGATGGTGGCCTTCTGGATGATTTTCATAGCCCACGATCTATCACACACAGCAGTTTCCACCATGGGTAAACAAATTAAACATATAACCGTGTATGAATTGATTGATTTTAATTTTAATGCAAGTATGTTTGTTATACTCAAAGGGAAAGACAACAGATTTGTGAATTGTTGTGATAAAGACAAAAATATTCAATATACTCTGAACAAAAACATGAGGTCTTGCAAGCCAATACCGATACCGGATGATGACAAGTTTTTTAAACCGGAACCGTATGATTGCATGAACTACGTGCGTTCGCGGCCAGCGGTGCGTTCTGATTGTACATTTGGACCAATGGAACAAGTAACAACAATATTAAATAATTACATATTGATAAAATAACATTATATTTGTATTATAATACCAATAAGAACAGACATAAAAAAGCCAGTTTGTTGCAAGTACACAAAAACTACAGAAACTAACAGAATATTTAAAAAATTGTTGCCCCTTAATAAGACGTATTTGTGTTTTATAGATGAACCAAGCTACCCATTATTTAGACGGGTCGATGATATACGGTTCGTCGGAAGAACAGGAGTTGTCGGTGAGGGAAATGTCGTTCGGCAGGTTGAAAGAAATAGACCTATACAGGTATGATCCAGAATTCTCGTCAATGCCGCGGGAAACCACCGATACGAAAGCGTGTCAGAACGGCATCGGTACGTGCTTTAAGGCGGGTGACATCCGAGCAAACTCGTTTCCACAACTGACGGCCTTGCACACACTGTGGATTAAGGAACACAACCGGATAGCCCTAGAAATTCATCAAATAAAACCAAATTTGAATGATTTTGAACTTTTCCATGAAGCCAAGAGAATCGTGATAGCAGCTATTCAGCACATCACGTACTTCGAATGGCTGCCGGCACTACTTGGCTATAATTATGTCAAGGAGAGTGGTTTAGAAGTTTTGGAAAATACCTATGGAGGTAGAACTTATTACGACGAGAATGCAGACCCGTCAGTCAGCAACGTGTTCGCGACCACGATACTCCCGATTGCCTATTCTATGATCAGCAATATTATAAGGTTTTGACATACTGCATATTTTTTAAATCGCTATCATCATAATTATCGTATATAGTGGTAGGTCATTTCGTGGTGACAGTTTTTTAAAATAACCATGATCCATCGCTGTATGACTCGCTAACTATTGCTTAATGGTCACCTCAATTCCCCAAAGTTTACTTGTTACTGATTTTCAAACGGCGAATTATTCTTTTTTAATCATATTCTTAAAATGAAATGTACCTATACAAGATAGAAGTATATCGAACGAATAATTTTAGATTTTTAGGTTCCTACATTCGAGTATTTTATTTTATTTGAGTTACAAAATATTTACAAATTAAGGGGAGTAATAATATCTTCAATTATTTTTACAAAAAAATAAACTAATTAATTCAATAACTTAATTTATATAATAGATTAAAAATTGCATAATTCGATTTTATCTAGAATCAATTTAAAATGATAAGTAGTTACATATTATATAAGAAGATTATTGTTCGAAAAAAGTAAAATAATAAATCTGTATTTTGTTAAGTGCTAGTTATACTTTTTGTGCGTGATTTTGTTTAGATTAAACCGGGAAGACAGCAACTCAGAAGAATTATCGGGTTGGAGCTCTGATAATTTGACGCTAAAGGAATATTACAACCAACCTGTTGATATACTGAAAAATAACACACATTATATTCTAAAGGGACTAATTACGGAGAGTGCACAAAACGTCGATATGCTGTTTACACAAACGGTGTGTTCATGAAATACACTCAATATATATTATAAACTTAACTTTTTTACAGCATCAATATTGCAGACGATATTACGTATATGTTCTATTCTTTTTTTTTTAAATATTTGTTACAGATTACAAATCATTTATACAGTATTGGTACAAATAACTCGTTTGGAATGGACACGCTCAGCTTGGATATACAACGAAGCCGGGACCATGGTATTCCGAGCTACACACAATTTAGAAAATATTGTGGGCTAAAAGATATAGAAAATGAACAAGATTTATCTGAGATAATGGGGGAAAGCGTAAGTTTGAATACAAAATTTAAATTTAAAATAATGATCTACTTACTGCACTGATTACTTTCCGTTTGAATGTTTTATTTAGTCAGCCGATAGATTATTGAAACTGTACAAAACTTGGAACGATATAGATTTATTGGTTGGTGTATTGTTGGAAAAACACGCTGAAGACGCAATGGTTGGCCCGACGATGAGGTGTATCATCAGAGAACAGTTTCTAAGAACCAAAAAGGCAGATATATTCTTTTATGACGGAAACAGACTATTCAGTTATGGTTAGTACAACTAAATATTTTCTAATGAATGAACATAATTTTAACTAATTTATTTTTAATTTCAGAACAACTTGCTTACAATATCAAAACTTATAGTTTAGGTGCTGTTTTATGCGTGAACACCGATATTAAAGTGAGGCAAGAAAATGTATTTTTGACGCCGAAAATATTTAGACCTTGTTTTGAAAGAAAAACTGATAGACTTTCGTTCCATTTATTTTACTATGATTATTATTCATCCCTATTAAATAGGTTAAGTTAAGTTAATTTTAACTTTTTAACTTAAATTTTTAAGATCTAATTTGCATTAACTTAGTTTTTAACTTAACTGATTTTCATTGATATAAATTTAATAAATAACAAGTTACTTTTAATCAAAGCCAATTTCGTTCATTTATAAATAATTGAATAATTAATATAATAAAATTATTATTGATGACATATATTGCATAAACATTTATTTTTGATTATTATTTAATTTAAACCATATAACAAGCTGCGTAAATATTAGAAAAATAAATAACTTAACTTAACTTAAGTTTATAAGTTAATTATAAGTTTTTAAATAACTTTTAAATTAACTGGGCTTAAAAAAAATTAGGATAACTTTTAACTTTAAACTTTTTAAAATGTTTCCATCAACTTAACTTAACTCAGTTAAGAATTATCATTAACTGGCCCAGGCTTGCATATCATTAGTTAGTAAAAATTGTTTGAGTCTTATTCACTAGAAAATAACTTTAGGTGATAATCCATCATATAATTAAAAAATTTGAGGTTATAGTCACAATTTTAATATTTTGAATTATGTATACGCACCTGTATCAAGTTTAAATTTACTTAAATAAATTTACCCTAATTTGGATCACTATAGAAATGTATTTGGATGAAAAAGTACACATTTGAATCTGGAAATTTTATTTGTAATATCGTTCTGATAATAAATACGTTTTTTAACAATGTTATTAGTTTTTTAAACTTAAGTTTTATCATGTTTTTACATAATAATCAATATACGTCAAATAACCATTGATTGAACTTTTTGATTTACGTATTAGTAATACTAAATTATAAATATTTAAAATGTTTTAAATATTAATTTTAAGTTTAAATCAAATAAATTTTAGATTATTAATTATATATACACATTATATACATCACAGTGTTAGATTGACATTAATTTGAAAACTAAAGAGTACTATTCTATTTTTGATAATTTATATTATTAAATTACAATTAACAAGAGTACCCGTTCTTAATTCAATAAGTGTTCAGTATTTAATGTTTAACCACATGTAGTTTGTACTTATTTCTTGTATTTCATTATATTCCACACAAATATCTATATATTTATTTGGAGAAAAACGTAATAATTAGGGTTTGGATTTGAATGCAATATAATCAATAAAAAGTATTTACAATGTGAATAAAGAGAAAAATACATTTATTATTCTAAATTTTGAAAAGTACTTTTTTGTGTTTATCCCTTTCAAAATGTTGCTACAAGTGGAATTTTTTTGCCACTTAACACTTTGACATCATGAATTTTAAGCATAAAATTAATCCATAGGTTGAAAAAATATTTTCACTGAATTCTGTAACATACTTTTTCAATTTAGAATTGAAATTTTGCTTAACTTTTGGTTTATTTAAATAAACAGAATAAAATTAACGTAAAATTATAAAACTACAATTACGGTTGATGTCCGTGGAGTTAGCCGCCCAACATGGTCAAACCAGCATGTGACTCGGCTATCAAACTTTCAGTGATAATCCGAAAGTTGTTGACTTACAAATTCTGATTTTGTGTTTACAATTACTTATTAATGCCTTACTAATACTTGGTTTGTTCAGATGTTGGGATATTAAAGATCGTACGGCTGCGTGAAGTTAGCCGTGAATTAAGCTTTCAGGGATAATCTAAAGGTTGTTGACTTACAAATTAGGATTTTGTGCTTACAAATACTTACTAATGACTTATTAAAGAATAACTAAATACGAAATTGGTTTGACAATGTAGGGCGGTTATAACTTTACGGACATTTGCAGTTGGTGAATGCGGACTGATAAACAATTCTGAACATACTAAATTGCCATACCAAATACTCGATACAACAATAAATGAGTATTTATATGAGTATTTAGCGATATCGATAAATATCGAGGAGCATAAAACTCATTCAAAACAATTAAATAACATCTACAATCAGGGCCGGCGCAAGCAATTTTTTATGTGTAGGCAAAGATCAAAATTGCCGCCTCTTATTTTATTATAACTTAAATAGATGAATGTCATATGTAAGAGCAAAAAAATTAAAAAACGTTTTATACTTGTCAATTATTATATAATAATTTACTATTCTTTCTTTTTTTCATTTTCAGAGTCAAAATCATCTGTTCTGCAGTTAATATCATGTATATCTTTAATATTTAAATTGGCCCTATTCTTTAAGTTACGAGTATATTAATCTCTTCTTTACTTTCATTCTTTTTTTTGTCAACTTCACCCATACTTAGATCGTCAATATTTTTATTTCCTCTATTTTCTTCACTGTCGTCAGTATCATTATCAATAATAACTTTTTCTTGACTATGTTGTTGAACAAATTTCAGTAAACTACCTTTTTGTTTAACTAAATCTGTCTCCCGTGTCCCGTGCTAGTCTTTTCTTTAAATATTGCAAATCTGATAATCGTTCACTCTTTTTTATGTCATGGGCCATAATGTCTGAATAAATAATTAATTAATTAATTAATATGATTAGTAAATTATAATAATTTTCAAGTACATTATCAGTAGCGGCTCGTGAGTTAATATTCTAGGAGACTAAAAATTATTTAACATAAACTCCATACAACAACAAACAAGAAAATCTAATTATATAACAATATTACATACCTAGTTAATTAACCACTAGTTAACAAAAAGTCTATTATATGGTCTTTTTGAATTTTTTAAATAATTACAAATATAATAAAACTAATACATCATTTCTATTAAAATAACCATTTATAGGTTTTGGACTTTGTGGCTTTCAATTTATAATAATAAACAAGTATATTACAAGTATACTATTGAATCATTTACGCGCTATAGGTACCAATAGGCAATAATGATATTTAAATACTAATTTAACAGTAAATTAAAAATATATTATATTTATATTATTTATCTATTGTGTAATGATGCAGTCTTAATAGATGTATATGTCTTGATTTATAAAAAATTATATTGCTGAGCTCAATAAAGAATGTACCTACACTGGCTACACTGCACTGTACAGTGAGAATGAATGACACACAACAGTCACCAATTGCAAAAATGCTAATAGAATTATTATCGATTAAATTGTAATGGCACAACATGCTTTGAGACGTTATCGTAATTCAGGGAAAAATTATCCATATTATATTTATTGATTATTGTTTTGAGGTTTCATCGATCTACACAATATGTTTGTATATTGTACTTTGAAATTTGTTGAAATCTAAAATAAATGAAAAATAAGATTTTTTTTTCTTATATGCCGCCTTTATATAGGTAGTTATAAATTTTGCCGCCGTAGGCTTGTGCCTACGTCGCCTACGACTATAACCGGCGCTGTCTACAATGCACCGTCTTCACAAGCCCTTATTGATTTGTAACTATAATGCGTAAGCAGTGTATGAGACTATTAGATAAATTGAAAATTAAACACAAAAAAATGCATTTATAAGTGAAAAAGCAAAAAATAAATATGGAGGACTACGAATTGGTTCCCGGGTTATCTACACTGTAGATTCTACTGGTAACATACGAGTTGGTTTCCGCAAGCTTGCATGATAATACAACCTTGTTAAATTAACTTTTAAAATTATTATGATATAATATTCAACCAGCAACAATTTCCTTAACATGTATTCAGACTTAGGACTGTCTAAAATTCAAATAAGTTTGAATAGTTCAAACACTATCTTGAATACCTAAAATGGTATTTGAGTACCTTAAAAATGGTTAAAAATATATGATGTTCTAAAAATTGAATTGCTTGTATATAAGAAGTACTGTTCTTATTGGGCAGTAGAAGAAAAACTAAGAGATAATAATTGTTATATTTTACACCACGAATGGTTAAAATCTCGTAAAATAATTTTAAAAGTTCCATCAACAAACACTGTTTGTATTTTGCTGAGTATCTCTAAATTTGTGAACAAGTAAAAATTATTAATATTGTAATATTATCGATTGTACATATACGTATCTTATAACAGTGAGTTGTATACTGATAAACTGATATGTAATTTTATTCGAACAGTTGTATGTTGGAAAGTATTTTTTTCAGGAACCAAATCTTGCACTTTAATTGACCCGGGAACAAAGATATAACCATCGTCATAGATATTAAATGAAACACATTTTTGCATGAAAATTATTTTTTTATTAAATTATTATTTGAAAAAAATCTTTTGCCTTCAAATCCGAATCCTAATAATAATATATTCATGAAAATATTGCACAATAAATTGCTGTTATTGTTGAAAATATATTTTTAAGTTATTAACTCATTTTTTTACAAATTGTCTATAGTCTAATAGTTAGATAGTTCTAGATAGAATTTTTAGAGTTAATTATATAGAAGTGCACCGATATTTATTACTATTATTTATTTATTAAATTGTTTCTATTTTCATTTTAAACAATTTTCAAGAGAACAAAAAAAAAAAATTAAACATACATTTTTTTTACATATGGTTAATTTTGATAGATAATTAGGTGTTTTATGACTACGTTCGATGGTAAAATAGTGATTTTTGTAAAATGTCCATGTATCGTTTACTTATTGTTATTGGTAAAATGTTTTGGAGATTCTTTGAGAATTAAAGTGGCTGGTGTATATCATGTTTTAAGGAGTAATAATTAGGCACCATTTATCATTTATATAATGCACATTTGTAATGACAATGTACATTACTGTGTGTTTCTGAGTTCTGATGAGCGCTGTCATGTCAAATACAAATACTTTATACAATTTTTGAAAACACTTATATTGTAAAATGAGCAGTCAATATTTTTTATACTTATTTATATCATTTGTATATGACAATATATTAATAATACCACCAAAACCCTTAGTTTTATCTATTTCTAAGAAGGAAAGAAGCAAAATTTAAAACAAGGCATGTATAGTGGCATTTAACTTCGAGTATTATCCTAGTGTATTTTTGGTGTGTAAAAATGCCCTAGCTAGGATATATTTACATTAAAGGGTATAATGTCCAAATA